CACTAGATGGTTCTATGCAGTACAATTTCATTAAAAGGAAGAGTGGTAGGTGCTGTATAGAGTATGATAACAAAAATGGAAACAAGGAGATCTATTAGAAGGTAAGACATGCATCTGAGAGAGAGATCATGGTGGTTTAGACCAGAGCCTCACCAGAGGAGGTGGTACGAAGTAGTTGGATTCTGGATATAAAGGTAGAGCCAGGTGGATCTGTTTGATGGATTGGAAATAGGGTGTGAGTAAAAGAGGAGCCCAGGGTGACTCTTGGTCTCTTTCCTTGAACAGCTGGGAGGACTGTAGGCTTCTGTTTTTTTTTTTGACACGGAGAGTATTTGGACGGGTACTTCTTAGATTTTCTAATAATTTTTTATTTTTGATGATTCAATATGGCTATTTAGTATCAAAATGGAGAAGTGAAGTAGTCAATTAAGTATTATATAAAGATTTAGTGTATGCACATCATAAACTTATTATGTGTCACAAATTACTGGTCCCTACTTACATATGCAGAGACGATGTGCATATCGTCAGATTTTTTCATATTGTTATTCTGATGGTACCAAGTATTACCTCACAGTTGACTAGATTCATTAATAACAACCACACTGGACTGAGCCCTCTGATCTTAAATTTACCCTGAAGGTACTCAATATTCTAAGCCATTGGCTAGTGGTACTGTTGCTTCATTTTCCCAGCTGGTGTAGTCAAGAAATGGGATATACCACATGCTGATACTTTCAGTGAGAAAAGTGCATCAACAGCTTGTGTTTGTTGTTAGTGTCATTGAGGACATGGAAATTTCTGTGGATAGAGTTGCATAGATTTCATATGGATAATCCTATTGTTTGATTTTTGATGATGATCAATCAGTTGCTAATGTAAACTAATTGGAGGCATTGGAGGCTCTGGGTTTTGATAATAAAAAGAAGGAATTTAATTAATTTTAATTACCTATATTAAATAAAATTTTACAAGACTAATAATGATGACCTAATAGGCATCTTGTGATCTATTATGACTAGCTGTATTTACAGTATTAAAGCACATGTTTGGACTATTGCTTGATTTTTTTACTGCAGTAAGTGGGTGTTTAAAACTGTTTTATCTTTTTTCCTTTTGCGTATATACACAATTACCTTATAATATAATCTGAATATCAGAACATGTTTGGACCACTGTCTGCAAGTGGGAATGCTTTATTTGTAGTTGTCTGGCAGAGAATCTGCATTCTCTTTAAAAAGAAAAGAAACCTTTTCTTTTTGGTTTATGTTGTCTATTATTAACTTAGTGAAGAAAGGGAAGATTAACTTCAAGGGGCTATGGTTTTCTTATACAGAGAATATTCTAGAAATTATTATGCTATCATTGCCTTTGAAGATATTGGGTGAATGAATTCCATGCCTTGTGGGTTTTTAAACGTGGCGGTTCTGCTCATCGCTGTTTCTGGAGGTGGTCAGGAAGCCAGACATAGCCACTAAGAAGCAGTCACAGTGGGAAGCTGTCTTACTGACCACCACAGTACAGGACCAGGAGTCAGAAGATGTGAGTTTGCGCCAGTCTCTATGACTAATTGATTATTATCATGTTACTTGGCATGTCATCTTACAGTTGTCTATATAGTTGTTATAATAAACTATTTTTGAAAGTCTAACATAAAAATGTAAGGACATCAGAAGCAATTTTGGACTAAAAAGTTTCACAATTTTTAAAAATTTTATTTTAAAGGGAATAAAAAAGGAGCAACAGCAGACAATTTTTTTGTAGCAACTCACAAAGTTGAGAGTGGCGAGAACAGGGAAGGTGAACATGTCTTTCTGCTGTTCTGGAGTAGTGCCTGAATGATATGCCACATTAGGACAAAATTAGAGAGGCAGATGTTTGGCATGCTTTTTTAATGCAATAAGTCAGACGGTTATAGATAATTTGCATATTATTCAAATACCGTCAAAGTGTATAGCTTCAGTTATTTTACACAGCTTTTTTGCCATTGGCTTTGCCCTCTTTTGTTGAGATTTTGTTGGATATGTAAGAATAAAGGAGGAAATAGATTTTTTTCTGCTCTATTTGTGGTTATGACTGGTATCTGTGCAATCTGGAAGGTTGAAGTGAGTGTATAGAAATATAAATGCCTTGAAGCATCTGGCCTGGCTTCTCCTCGCTGTTTCCTTCACTCCCCTCCTTGGCTGGGGCTATCTTATCTGTTTATTAGTTTGGCTCTGCCCAGGTTTCTAGACCACGCAATTTCTATTTAAGGCAAATTTAAGGATCTCTGGCCAGCAGCTTTGTAGTCTTTGCATGTGAACATAGCAATTTCTTTCCTGATTCTGGACCCAGCACAAATATAATCACTGAAATCCTGCCTCATTTCCTTAGAACTGAGTCCCTATTTCCTGCTTTGTCCCTGGGTCCTTCTGGAGATGTTCTGCTTTCTCTTGTCTAAATCGCAAAGGGTCTGATTTTCTCCCTGTGCTCCAGTCCTTGCATATGGAACTTGACACCTGCTGCTGTGTTTGCCTCTGCTGCATCCCCTTACATGCACCTGAAACCATCCACTGGCCAACCACCCAGCTCCTCTGGACACACCTCAGCTTCCCAGCACAGCTGCTAACCCTTTAACACTGCGTATCTCCCCACTTAGCAACTAGCACTTCTCGGGTCTTTGCTTACTGCTTGCATCAGATTCCCCTGCCATTCTTTGCCCCTCCATGTCTGTCAGATGCTTCTGGGGTCCTGGGAGAAGGCATTCCATTTTAAGAGACTTCCCCAGTGTTTGCGTGCCAGTTCCCCTGGACTAATGCAGCCTGAGCTGGAATCTGATGCCCCAGAACAGGACCTTTTTCTTAAATGTTTTCTTCCTTCTGCAACATTTCCTTCAAAGATTTTAAGACAGTTACATGTCTCATATGGTCAAAAGAGCTCAATGCTTTTAGACCTTTGTTACACACTCAAATATGTGACACAGATGACCAAGATCTTAGAAACAGAAATGAAAAGTAAGCACAAACTTCAATATACATTCACATTTTCCCCTTTCAAAACAAAACAAAAACAAGGATACAAAAATGGGTAACTAATTTTAAGCAGTGGAGCACTAGATCAAAGGCTTAATTCTAGAAAGGAATAATTTGCAATGTCTAATCAGTATTGGTCATGGACTTTGGTACACAGAGAGGTGACAAGAGAAAACTACTTAAGCTAATCGTACTTTGGCTGTCAACTAAATCAACCACTCCAGGACCCACGAGGGAAAAAAGAAGCCATAGTATGATTTTCAGTGACCCTTAGAATTACAAAATGGTTAGGTGAATTTTAACGTAGAAATTACGGTCTGCTCAGTGGAATTGATCCTTCAGTGCTAAATAGATTGCTTTTCATCATTTCTGAAAGGTTATGGTATATTCGCATTGGAAAAACATTTGGAAGAGGGCTATTTTGGAAATAAGTGTACGTGGAACTGTATTTTATTAGGAAAAGGGGTGGAACTGCTTTGCGTGACATTTCAGTATATTCTTTGTTCCCAAGATTAGTGAGTTTTTAAAAATGTAAATAGAATCTAACAGAAATAATTTCATTCCAACTGGAGGAAAATGATAGGAAAACAAAAATTGTATAGAAAACATAAATGCAGACTTTAGAATGACATAATTACATGAACACACTAAGAAGTTTTTTACTGCCCCCTGCTGTCAGTTTCAAAAAAGAAATAATGACAAAATGACTGCCAAAACTAACGGGGTGAATTAGTTGAACAAATTGTTTGGGAGAAAAAATACCTGCCTTTAATTACACCACTTTTCAGCCAGCGGCGCCAATGCTGACTTCATGTTCTGTGGGCAGTCATTTGTAAAACTAAGAAACCCACACTACCAAAGTGTGTATTAGCAACATAAGATGAAAAGAACAGTTTGTGCTCTGTGAAATACTGTGAATTTGAAAACGACCAGTGTTTCAATTTTTAACCAGTGATGTCTACTTTACTGTGTTTCCAAACTGAACTATTTTGCATTTGTTTTTTTTAATATTTATATAACTTAGGCAAAACATTCATTATCAATAAAAGGAAAACTTTCAAAACCAATCAGTGAGCACTTATTTCTGTAGTATGCTCCTGGGAAAAAGCTATTAGCATTGTGGCACCTGGAGTGGAGAAGTGAGAAATAATAAAGCTAATAGGTAACACTAGCGCAGTGACACAGCTAATAAAAGGTGGAGTTGTGATGGAAGCCCAGAGGATGATTCCCGGTCCCTCTTTGTGACCCTTTTGTACAGGAGAAGGTATAAAGTCCGAAAGTAATGAGAAAAAAAGTATAGAAAGTATAGTGGACACAGTATTGTGAGACATTAAGTACGTACTCACTGTATTTTGTTGCACCTATGCTCTAATGACCAGAGCCTGTGCATAAGTAATAGGGCCTCTTGTGCGTGTGACTTGGGTTATCTTTCCTTGTTAGGAAAGGTCTGTCTCTGGGGGCGTCATATTGCAGGTGCATACGTGTACTTATCTTTACTGATTACGTGCAGATGTAGCACATACTAAAAGTAAGACTGCATTATCTGTTTTGGACTCCTCTTATGGCTGGCCTCTGCTCACCTTGGAGATGGAACTGCGGACCTCCTGACAGCTTCTGACCACTGTCAGCAGCTAATATTCAAATACACACTTTTCTCAGTGCTTTGTACAAATCAGCTCCACGGGTTAAGTTACCCTGGTTGTTATTAATTCTAGAGCCCCACAGAACAACCTCCTTGCGCCCTCTTTGGTTGTCATATCTTTTGATTTTTTTCTGAGTTAGTAGCACAGATGATCCATGATGACAGAAATATCGTGCCAGGGATACTAGGACTACTAGACTTTGCAGGTTGAGGTGATTTTTGCCTTGCAGGTAATTGATAAAACTGGACCTCAGTGACCAGAGCGCTAACTACACAGAAAGTCTTTCTTCCTCCCACATTCAAAGCACAACAAACCCATTTGAAATTTGTAATACAAAAGGTCTCACCTGATTCGAGGAGTCGGGTTCCCAGTGACTCTACACTCCAAATAAACGCGGCTTCCTTCCTCGACTTCTTGGCTCCTCAGCTTCTGGATGAACCGAGGTGCGGATGGGAAGTGGGGGGCCTTTGGGGGCTGCAGGTGAGAGATGCTATTGCACCGTGGCCTGGGCACACCCTGCTCAGTCTGGTAGCAATGCCTGGCCTCAGGTAACTTGACCTCTGCTTCCATGTCCTGATGGTCTGTGGGGCTCTGACTGGCCGAGGCAGTCATCAGGGCTGATGGCTGATTTTTAGGAGACAGGTACCCACTGTCTGGTGATGACGACTCCCCATTTGGGCTCCTATTTCTTGGTTTTACCCCTCTAAATATGGATGTCAGCTCCTCAATGAAATTGGCTGCCTTGTCGCACAGCTCCCTCTGGGGACCAGCCTTACTCTGGTGTGCTGGTTTGGGCTTTGCATTTGTACTGGGCGTTTTTGCACCCCGTTTTCCAGCCTTTCGGAGGCTCCGGATATAACTGGGCCTAGCAAACTGAGGGGACACGGTAGATTTCCTCCTTGAAACAGGTGAAGAGATCCTCTCCTTTGGTTCTTCTGCCGGAGGCTGGATAGGTGTTGGTTTGTTCTTCTGAGGTTTTCCTGAGGAGGTTTGCTCACCCAATTTGGTCTCCTTGTGGGAAGGATTTTCACAGAGGCTGACATGAGAGGTGTTGAAAATCTGTGAGATCTCTTTCTCTGAGTCAAAATCCTCTGTTTCAGAGTTGGCTATAGCTCTCCGAGCCAGGTCAAGGCTCTTGTTTATCTCTTCCTGGCTGAGAAAAGCAGACAGCCCCGGGAAGAAGTCAGCATTCTTGCTTTCTTCCTGCATGTCTGATAAGGAATCATAGAAGGAGTCGTGGGAGGAAGTCTCTGACATATTTGAATCGTCTTCATACACTCTTTGCTCTCAACAGGAAGCCCAGAGGCCCTGAAACTTGTTTTCTTCTTGTGTTCTGAAAGGCAATAAAGAATTATTATTAGTAATGGTTTTTCCCTATTGTTTCATAACACTACAACTCTACTAATTGACAGAAACATCAAAGAGAACAAATGTATCAGTTTTCCCATTCAATGAGTTGGAAGAAAGAGAAAGTATATTTATGTTTATCATTTATTATCTTAGCTTAATATTTCAGTGACTATCTGGGTTATAAGTTAATATCAAGTGTCTTACAACCTGTATTGAGTAATTCAAGTAAGAGGCATCTACAGCCGGTGTGATTCGTGTCACAGGGCATTCCGAACTTCTCAAGAGCTCCTTCCCGTGCACACCCCTCGTTAAATCTCCATTTCATCGATGTTATGTGATTACCAGCTTGTGGGTATTTTTAGTAAACCTGGCTTTGTTTATCTGACCCTAAACGATCAAATATATTTTAATGAGTCCAATTTTCATTTCATTTTGGTTTTCAGTGAAGTAGTTGAAACTTGATTGTCTTACCCTTTCCCTATATCCAGCCATATTCATGTTCAGTTATTCACCATTACTCCAACAGATAATAAGTTCATTAAGTTTCAGGTGCTGGGGGGACAGCTGTGCTCCAGACCAGGGATTTACAAACTTTCTGCTAAGGGCCAGATAATAAATAAATAAATAAATTAATTACTTTTTATTCTGTGGCTATTGCAATTATCTAACGTGGTAGTGTGAAATCAACTATATGAATGAGCACAACCATGTGCCAATAAAACTTTATTGGTGGACACTGATTTTGGAATTTTATGTTAGTTTTACTGTTAGAAATAATATCCTTCTTTTGATTTTTGCAACAGTTTAAAATGGAAAACAAAAAGAGGAAAACAAATTTAAAAAAAAAATCCCCAAACCATTCTTAGTTTTCAGGTTGTACAAGATATGCAGCTGGATGGATTTAGTCCAGAAGATGAAATTTACTGACTGTTGATCCAGAATAATGACATAGTCCCTGTGTTCAAGGAGTTAAAAGTCATGTGGGGCAGTAACATGAGAGAGATGGAAAACACATTAACCAAATGTTATAGGAATAATAGAAGAGCTTGATAGGGCTCTGAGGAGAGAGAAAAGTACCTGGGAGCTATGAAGGCCTAATCCAATCTTGAAGGATATGTGCCAGAATTGTGTTTTGCCTCGGACATTAACACAGGAATATCATATGAAATAAATAAAAGGTGTTTCATTACTTATCAAACAATTGGACATAAATTTAAATTCTACCATTCTTTGAATGAAATGCTGGGAGGCAAAGGCCTCTCTTGTTACTCCAAGTATACTATTCTTTTTCTATATATTATTCATCGAATAAAAAGAGAAATGATCTAGCAAACTTCAGTACTGATCTTTGCCTCCAGATTGAGTGTAAAAAGTCAGTGAAGGAAGCTTCCTACGTATGATAAAGCTGAACTTTATAGGCTGTGTCAGGAGCAAACTGGATGAGACCTTCTGTAGTAATTATGCCTCACAAGGTCCGACTGGAGTGCTTGTTTTGAAGCAGGTTAGAATCTAGGGAACTCACTGATTTCAAACAATAGTATGCAAGAGTTGAAAGGCCTTCCTAGACTCTATCTCAAAGTGTACATAGGATGCTGTGATTCATAGAATCTGTTAATTCTATGGAAGATATTTAATCAGAGACCTTAAAGCTTAATATCAACCTACTGAATCTTCTTCAGTTGAATGCTGTACTGTTGTCTTATGTATCTTTTTAGAAAAATTATTTACTTTCTTGTGCCTAAATCCCAAGTTTTCCCTCTGTTAATCCTGCTCTGCCTACTAAAGTATATTTCCTACAACTCATGTAGTAAATCCTGCTAAGTCCACAGAAGTGGTCTGGTCATTGTTGCCACCCTTCTATCAACATAATTTTACTCTAATTCCTTGGTTATGTCTGTATTTCAGTATGTAACCATCATAGTTTTTCTCTGATTATTAAAAAAATCAGAGAATCATTCATGAGGAAAAGTTGTGTTCAGTATATTTTGAATTCTTGAATATGTTTTATTCATGAAAACCAGGCATTTAAAATATCATTTTGAAAAGGGAAAAGCATAAGAAATATAGACTAATAGAAAATGAATGTGCATTAAAGATTCTACTTAACTAATTTGTGACAAATCTAGTAACATTTTACAACACTTTTAGAGAATGTGTTAGAAACCAGATACATATGTAGGCAATTAAGAATGCTAAAATAAATTTGCTAGTTGATTTGGAACTGATTAATATCCACAGAGCAATAAAATATAGTATTAGAAATAATTTATACAATAGAATGCTTACTAGAATCAATGTTTTGAGGATCTATGAAGAAGGTATAATTTGCATCCGTGTAAGATTTCTACAACATACAGACTTGTCAAATTGCCTTGTTAAAGACAATGAAGAAATGGCATAGACACTCATAGAATAAGAAGACCCCGGATGGTCCACTAGAGCCCATCTAACATTTTACTGAAAGGACACACAGTATTGTTTTGTCTATTTAAAAGCCATGACGCTTTATTCCAAGAAGGTAGGATTTTCCCCCTCAGTATTTCAACAAGCATGGCAGATAACATGTGGAGAGACCAAGTGTCAGGATTGTCTCCCATTATGTGTGAAGAGAAGAGATACAAGATAACATAAACCTAGAAGAGACATGACGATGGGAAGGGAAGCAACCTTGGATTAAAAGTATGTTCATGTATTGAAGACAAAACAGATCATATTTTCATTTCCTGAAGTTTATCCTTCCTTGGAACATGAACCACTTGTTTTGTGATTTGAGAGAAATTCAGTTTTGCAAGGAGCTCAGTGCAGAAAGAGATTTTGTGTCTACCACACCTGGAGCAGGGGAAGCGGATAATCCAAGTAGATAATTGCGAGCAGATCTTTGGTTCTTGATATGAATAACTTAAAACATAAACTGAGATAGATGTACTACACGCAAAGGGATTACCCACTCCAAATGCATTCATGGTGTATTTACTACATGCCCAGCAATGTGTTAGGGAGTAGGGTATAACTTAGGGAAAGACAACCTTTTAGACTTTATAGAAATCAGTCTATAGCAGATACATCTAAATAAGAAGCACATACTCTACATTGTGTCAAGTGTTATGGTGAGAAAAGAGCAAAATGCTGTAACAGCACCAAGAAGGGACAGCAGGGTAAGGATCAGGCAAAGTTTTCTGAAATATGGTTGAAAGAATGATACTTGCTGGTTGACCACATGTAGAGATGATGCAGAGGCAGGATTGCACACTTCTTACTTCAACAACATGAACATTGTCATTAAATAACATGCCACAAGTGGAAGAAACAAATTTTAAGAAAAAATAAGCTTAATTTTGAGTTGGGCTATTTGAATTGAGGAATCTCTGGTGTTGATATCCAGAAGGCGATTTGAGATGTTTATGTAGCACCCAGAAGAAAGCATGAAGGTAGGGTGGATATTGTTGGTCTATGGTTGGCTCCGTAAGCCGCAAGAGCGGATAAGGCTTTTGATTGAGAACAACAGAGGAAAAGAAAGACCCCTGCAGAACTTTGGAGGGAAACCATGACAGTGAGGTGTCACAGAAATTAGAAAAGAAAATGTCTCATGGAGGAGGTAGTGTCCTTTTTACTTTAGCAACTGAGAAGATTTGGCATCATTAGCAGCAGCATTTTCCCTGTATGCAACCGAGATAAAAACCAGACTTCATCGGAAGGAAATATAAATTGCAAATACAGTTGACTGTTTTGAGATTTGCAGAAAGGTAGAGAGGTCGGAAGTACCAGTAGAACCAAAAAGTGGACTGTAGTAGGCTTTTTTTGCCTGTTTCTTTATTTGTTGTTGGTGTTTTCCTTTTTCTTTTTGTTGTTGTTCTTAGACAGGACACATTTAGGATGGGACTCCTCTTTCAGTGCTGATGGAATTAGTAGACAGAAGCTGAACAAACAGGTAAGACAGCGGGGACGGATTAGAGTCCCAGTCTCCAAGGATGTGAGAAGAAATGAATTACAGTAGCACAAATGTGGTATTTGGCTTCAGGTAGGAGCAAGATAGTTCTTTTTTTCCGTTATCAAAAGAGAGAAGCAATAAAGGGTATGTTTGCCTACAGACACATGTATGTGTGTGTGCTGGGTAAAAAGGAGAGCTCTTAACTTGAAACTGTTGTGTACTTGGAGATTCATGAGGACAAGAGATAGAAATAATTTGAATTATTTGTAAGGAAAGGGAGAAAGTTTCCTGAGAAGAATTTGTGGGCACGCCAAAGGCCTAGCTGAAGTTAGATGGAATGCATTTATGGCATCCTTAATCTGTGTCATTGCACAATTCTCTCCAACAGAGCTCGTCAGGCCTGGCAAAGGTATGGTGATAGAGAATCCAGAGTTTGACATGCATGTAAAATGAAAAATAAGTGAGCAGGGTTGCTGAGAACAGATCTACTCTGAAAACTATGCTGGACTGAGATTCTTGGGTAGAATTTGAACATGGAGAAATTAAGGGACTAAAGGCCCAATGGAAAATAAGGAGAGATACAGGGAGACTAACTAAATGAGAACTTGAGATGCAATAGAGAGTGAAATATTGAAAATGAATATTGGGGAGGCAGAGCTTTCTGATTCTTGACTGCATTGTTTTCAAAAATAAAGTGCATTTTATTTCTTTTGTCAAATTATCATTTTATTATATATATGATGGTGAAAATAGTCTTTGTTTAAGATACATAATTTGAGATTTGATAAGCAGATACATGCGAAACTATCATCACATCCTAATTAACATATCACTTCAGATATTTACTTTTTTTTCTTTTTAGTGAGAGATATTTATATTTTCTTTCTTTTTAAGGAGAACACTTAGGATCTACCTTCCTAACTACAGGTAGCATATGATAGTGTGATTGTCTATTTTTATGGAACAATGTCAGGATTGAGTAGTTAAAACAGAGACTATATGGTGCACGAAGGCTCATGTATTTATATGGACTTTTACAGAAAAGAAATTGCCAA